ATTAACAAAATAGCTCCTCTTGAATAAATTTTCTTTGGTTGGGATCCTATCAAGGAAAACTTTCCAAACAAAGAGAGCTATTTTTGGAGGGATGCCGTTAACCCACACCAATTTGAAATTAAAATTTGGGTCTTGAACTCCTGAAACAGTATACATTTTTTACTGAAAAATTTATCAAAGATCCAGTCCAACCAACTATGTTAGAGACAGAAACATGACTTTTGTTACTTAAATTCTTTATTTATAGTTCAGTGGTAGATAGTTATTATGAGTTCATTTTCGATTTCCAGGGAAAAAGAATTGAAAATGGAGTATATCTTGGACCAATTGGATGCTTATAAAATTTGAAGGCAGATTTACATGGAAGAAGAGGATACTTGCCATCATTTTCGAGCGCATTCGAATCAAAGAGAGACCTAAATCTTCTGCTGCTGTTGAAATCTAACTCTCAGTAGGCTGATTCTTGTGTTGAAGCCATTGATAGAGACGTTGATTTTGTCAATTCTAGAAATATAAAGAGATTAGTGGCCAAAGAAGTATAGAATTCTGTTATTTTGAAAGAAAAATCAAAAATAATGATTCTATAATCCAAAGAATTAACAACTAGTTTTATGTATTTTTTATTATTGAATTAGAACTAAAAGACTGTATGTTTATTTCTCATGTATTTTCTTTTTTTTTTTTTTTTTAAGAATGTAACACATAGTTTATGATTGTGATAATTTTTATTATTGAATTTAAACTAGAGAAGAACCTGTAATGATGTTTATTCCTCATGTATCTTTCTGTTTTATTTTTTTATATTTTAGATATAGAATATAGCTTTTTTATATTTTTTTTTTTTTTTTTTTAATTATCAGAACTATATTTTTTAATTACAGTCCCATGAAGTGAAGACCATGATTTCATTATTCATGTGGTCTACCTGTCTGTATATTTAGAAACTGATGGTACATGAAGGTGTTCGATTAAGAATCTTATCTTTAATACCTGTCTATATATTGATGTTATTGAACCGGAAGGTTCGACTGAGTTTAATACGGTTCAACCAAATTCTTTTATATAATATTTTTAAATATATTTATTAAATAAAATTAAAAATATATGTTATGAAAAAACTTTGATCTCAAATAAAAAAACAGTTTCAAATTTGGCTTTTACAAAAAGAATAAAATTAGTCAATAATTTTAAACAAAAAGAACAAAATACAACTAAAATTAATACTAAATAAATTAATTAATTACTATAAAATATCTTATTATTTTTCACATATGGCTTTAAAGTTAGGCAATTTAATTATTTTAAGGGAAAATAATTATTTCATCCATGAGGTTTTACAAAATTAATTAACTCATCCTTATATTTTTTACTATTAGATATTTGCATTACAAAAAAAAGTGATAAAAGTAGACGAGGATTAGGGACAATGAAAATTATTTGTCTTCAAAATCCATAACCCCTTGGAATTAGGAAACAATTTTAAAAATTATCCTTTTTTACGATAATAAGATACAAAGGGGAAAATTTGAGTTTGTTATGTTTTCTTACTCATATTTTAATTAGAAATTGAGATAACAGTTGCACCAATAATAAATAACAATTTATGTCTCCGATGCTAAGGACAAGTACTGTCATTAAGTTTGGAAACGATTGATGTCCCATATGGGAGATGGGATAACTTCTATCCCCCTGTACTAATAAAAAGTATTGTCATAAATTTTGAGAACAACTAACGTCCTATTTAGAGATACAACTTATGTATTGTATATTAAGGATAATTATTGTCATCAATTTTGGGGACGATCGACGTCCTATATGTAGTGAATACAACTTCCGTCTCATATACTAAGAACAATTATTCTCATCAATTTTGAGGACGACAAACATTCCATATGAAGGGGATAACTTCCGTCTTCTATATTCATAATAAGTATGCCATATATTAAAACGAGGAAAACTAATCATTAAAATGCGTCGTTTGGTGGAATGATTTGAAGAGTTGGAAGAACTCTTGGGCACGTGCTCGCTTAAGGGCCTAATAACCATTGAATTTAATCATTTAAATTCAATCAAACCATGTACAAAAGATTTAAAGAGTTTGTTTAACCAGTCACTTTGAAAGCTTATCAATTTTTTCAAATTCACCTTCCAATGTTTTATTTATGATTGATTTCTTATTAAATTCACAAATTATATTATGCTAATACTTTAATTATAGTAGATTTAGTTTATGTTTGAAATTTAGGAGACGAGTCCCTTTCTCTATTATTTGCATTACTTTGAAATTATTAATGAAATCCTAGTATATTATATTAAAAAATAAAAATTTTGGCAAACGATATATGAATTGCGTCAATTGAGTTTTATATAAGTTGAAAATATTAATGTTTGATTCACTTGAAATAATGAAAAAAAAAATTCTTGTTATTGAAAAATTAATATTTGATAGGACAAATACTATTAAGTTTGATTTAATAAAAGTGGCAGCTTGGGCTGTATGATATTATCAACCCATCAGAAATAATTCTGCCTGTTGTTATTACAGGAACACTATTGTTGAAGACAATTTGAGAATTGTTTCTAAAATCAACGATTAAGAAAATAATTTTAATATATCTATATTCTTAGATTGAATATTTAGATATTAATATTTTTATTGAATAAAATTTTCTATTTTAATTTTTTCATAAAACATTTCGTTTAAATATATTTAATTGAAAATTATAATAATAAATTTCTAAGAAATTTGAATTCAATTTTACCAATAAAAATAATTATTGGTTGGAAAAAAATAGTGATAATGACTTTACCGATAAAATTTTATAATTACCGATAGACTTTCTGAATTTACCTACAAAATTTTCTGAGGGTAATCTTGATTTTTTTTTTTTTTTTTTTTATAGTGCACAATCTTAGATATTGACCATTGTAGCATCCCAAGAGGGGTGAATTGGTTAATTAAAATGTTCAGGAAACCTTAAATTAAGAGCAATTGGAAATCAAGAAAAAAGAAGGTAGAATCAAAGAACACATATGCCTATATCATCTTTTTATTTTATAAATACTTGGGTATAATCTAAAAGATTTAATTTAAAATTATTAAAGAATGATCATTAAGAGTATTAATGGGTCAGTTAGATGTATTCTTGTTTAAGTGGATTAAATCCTTTATGCACTTCTTAATTGATGATGATGATACGCTAGTGTGAACAAGGAGCAGGAAAGAACACAACGTTTGAGGCTTGTTCTTCATACCTTATAGGACCATTGACTATGGGCAAAGTTCTTCAAGTGTCACATTCCTTGAACGTATAGACAATCCAAGGATGGGGTAAGTGTCGATTAGAAGGACACTAAGCCAGTAGTTCATTGACCCAGACCAACATATGTCTCAAGTGATTATATTAAACGGGATTGATTAGAATACTCACATATACCCTACCTGAGTATACCAAACCAGTTTAAATGGATAGAGTAGTAATGGATAGAGCAGTAAAACATTAAACGGGTTTCAGACGAGTATCGGCACTAACATTCCAAATATATCCATATGGATACCCACACTGTTTTCATCATCACGAGCATCGGTATTAACATTCCAAATATGGATATCGGTACTAACATTCCAAATATATCCATATGGATACCCACACTGTTTTCATCATCACGAGCATCGGTATTAACATTCCAAATATGGATATCGGTACTAACATTCCAAATATATCCATATGGATATTAACATTCCAAATATGGATATCGGTACTAACATTCCAAATATATCCATATGGATACCCACACCGTTTCCATCGTGCAGCTATTCCTTGTTTAGTAGCTACTTAAAGTACATCTCTACAAAAACAACACTCTTTAGGATTTCATTAATTCCTAAAATTAAAGATAAAATGTGCTCCTAGACCCAATAGGGATGATTATGGATTGAATTCAGATTGGATTATGCAAAATCCATATCCAATCCGTGAGTGAGTATATTTATACATCCATATCCATATCCACATCCACTGCACTCGGATTTGAATTGGATGTCGGAACGGATCGAATCAGATTTTATCTGTTTTTATTATAGTTAAAAGAAAAATAAAAACAAAACAATTATTTAATAAAAATTTATATTATTTATTGTGCTTGAAAATACAAAAATTCTTAACAATAATTGAAATATTCTATATACTATGACAATTAGAAGAAACTTTAAAAATTATTAAGCGCAAAAAAAATCATGCTAGTGACTATCATGTTCGATTTATATTCTTTTGTTTGAAATAGAGATTAAAAAAATTATAAAAATGGTGAAAGAATTGGAGATAATGATTTAAAACTTATACATAAATGGAAAAGAAAGAAGAGAAGAATAGAGACAACTGCACATCTAAAATTATAATCAATAATTTTAGAAATATAAAAAAAATAAAATTATCTTTCGCGGATAAAATTCGGATTAAATTATGCCATATCCGTATCTGATTCATATTTGCGCAGATTTTATTTTAAAAATCCACATCCGATCCACCACTATTCAGATCAGATTTTATCTGCTCCATTTAGATCGGATCGGATTAGAGCGGATATCCTATCTGCTCCATTTAGATCGGATCGGATTAGAGCGGATATCCAACGGATAGGATCATTTGATCATCCCTCAGACCCCGTGTTTATCTACAAACATTTTTAAGCGTCTCAGTTAATCTCAACACACTGCAGAAACTGATATTCTCCGTCAACATCAAAAGTTCAAAATATAAGAAATAGGGTCAGGATCTGCAGCTACCACTGAATGCTTCAAATCCATCAAGTTAGCACCAACTATTTTCTTCCATCAAAAAAGTCATGCAAATAATACACTTCTTTAAAGCAGACGACAAGATCTCATCTTTAGACCAACCACACCTTAATTCTGAGTTGCCAATCTGATTCACATAACAGGATAATTGGAAGTAACAAGAGCATTAAAATGCTTCTCTGTTCTAGAACAGAATCCCATATAAAATAACCTCTTTGATCTCATTGCAGAACAATCAATAGGTTATCAATAACAGCTACACAGCATACTGTGGCATTTCAACTACTCTAAAGACCAGTAAATTAGGATGACTAATCTTTCCACATCTTATAGCTTATCAGAATTTAATTGATCATGCAAGCATCAAATAGGAAAACACTCTTTTGGAACTTATAAACAAATACAGTTAACAGTTTCATACCTCTTCTACAGTTCCATACCACATAGATTCACGTGGGTTGTCACCAGAAGCCGCCAATTCTGTTTCCAAGAAAGTGCAATTTGTAACCCCAGAAAAACCATAGTCTTTCCTTGCTGTTCTTGATAAACATGGTTTCTCCAATTCCCAAATAACCAAAATTGTTAAGTCATACCCAACTCTTCCTTTAGCCTTTTGTGGCCCAAACCTTGCAAACCAGCTACGCTAAAAAAACAGTTAAATATGACTTAATAATTTTGATTATTTGGGAATTGGAGAAACCATATATGTTGAGAAGAGCAAGGAAAGAGTATGGTCTTTCTAGGGTAACAAATTGCACTTTCTTGGAAACAAAATTGGCAGCTTCTGGTGACAACCCACATAAATTTATGAGGTGTGAAACTGTAAAAGAGGTTTTCTTTCAATTGTCTTTGATTATTTATTGTTGTATAATTATCTGATGACAAAGATATGGTAATAATAGCCGGTGCAAATTAAAGAAACAACAAACAATTGTTAAGCCTTTTCAAACTTTGCATGCAGAGAATCCTCCTCCTGGCTAAGTTGAGCATGCGTTTCTGGGCTTCTGCTGAGCAGGCTGGTTTTCTTCAACATGGAGTGTAGGAGGAATTGGTGGCCTCACTGCAGCAACAGTTGGTTGCATGGTCCAATCATGACTGGTGATGATCATGAACCTACAAAGTTTTATTTTCGACTTTAAAAAGTGAAACCACAACGAAAGAAAGATGAATCAATGAAAGAAAGAGGAATTGAGCTAATTTTGTAAGAAGATTAACATGATGACATGATAAGAAGATTATCAGGATGATAGTATATGATTGTCAGGTGAAATGAGAATGCATTGATTTCCATTAAACAATTTGTCAATGCAAAAACTCTGATAATTTGTTGAAAATACAGGTAAAGCTTCGACCGGCATTATTGGAAAGACAATATTTTATGCCAAATAATATCAAAATTAATACTAATACTAAGAAATACTAAAAGTGAAGTTCCTAGCAAGACATTCTCTTGCCAGTCCTTTCGGTTAATTATGTGCACTTTCAAATATAAGAAAAAGTGTTGATCACTAAAAGAATTGTTAACATAAAAGCCGTCATAATTTGTGGAAAGGTAAAGCTTCAGCCTGCATTATTGGAAAAATATCATAGGAATAAGAAAAAACGGGCAAGACAATTTCAAAATTAATGCTGAGAAATAGTAAAAGTACAGTTTATTTCCTAGCAAGCTATGCTTTTGCCAACCCATTAGGTTAAATAACATACACTTTCAAAATAGCAACAACATCCAAAGCTCCATCGCGTGAAGGGTAAGGCTTACACAAACAACAAGCTGCAACAAAGAAAATTACCTGTGGCTATTCTCATAAAGATTGCATATTTTACTTTCATTGTCTATCTTAAGCAATTCTTATTCATGAACCCATCTCTAAGCTATGTAGTTAAACTTCTATGGAAAGAAGAAAGGAATAAGTAATCTACCTCTTGGCAGCCTCCAACTCAAGAAGAGATTGCATGCCTGTTTGCCAGTAAACTTTCCTTCTCTATCTGTCTATCTAAAAACTGAGAAAGTAATCAAGTAAAATAAAGTAAGTAATATATTGAGGGGAAAAAAAAAGATACACAACAATGAGTTTATCCCAATGCTAAGAAACAGAATCATGCAAAGCATCCTACAGAATAAAAACTATAACTGAAAACACGATGAAGTAGAACTTTTACAGAATTAAAGTTGCATGAACTGTGTCATCTTGTAAAGTGCTCAGAGGAAAAACAATTAGACAGTCAGACATTCTATTTCCTCAATTTGATAAGTTGTTTATGATGAAATGAACAGCCAGATAATTTAGCATCACATTCTGACCAAAAAACAAAGATATCTTTATCCAAAAAAAAAACAACCATTATCAATACTAATGGCCAAAATCATATGCATTTCCCTGATGGCACAATGAAATATTAAGCAAATAGCAAAGGATCAATGGGTAGTTACTCATCATCAGCATATGCCTGTTCAAATTTCTATTAAAAGAAAAATGGCCATCTTCATCTAGTTACTCATTTTGCAGAGAGTTTTAGTTTAGTGTATCATTGAGTAGTCACATTTACTAGCAATGATCTAATGAATCCACAATTTGAACTAAAAAAAAAAAAAAAAAAAAAACACTCTTATATCCATCATATGCTATCTGTTCAAAATTTCCTAATAATAAAGAATAAATTGGCCATTCTTCATCTAGTTGACTCATCGTATTTGCACGAGAGTTTGTTTAGTTTAGGATTGATATTCATGAGTAGTCAACATTTACTAGCAATGATCTAATGAATCCACAATTTGAACTTAAAAAAAAAAAAGAAAAAAAAAGAATATGCAAACTAAACTTTGTTCTCTGTATTAAAATTAAAAGCAACAAGGCTATGAGACATAAGTGAAAGTTTAACCGTCATAGATTAACTATTATTTTGCCAATACTATAACGCTATCACTATCAGAAAAAATGTATGCATTAGACATAGAAGCAATTGTTAAAGAGAAAGATCAACATTTGCTTTCTTCAAGATAGTGTGCATCATGGTCAAGTAACATAAAATAATAGGAAAAAGTATTTGTGTTTTCACATAAGGAGATACCAGAAATGGCAAATTTTACCAAACAGGTGTCAAAACCCAGTAGTCTAGAACTTATAACCAAAATATATCTTTTATGCACTTTAGAACCAACACTACCAAGGAAAAAAGGGATATAGCAAATACTACGTAAAACAAAAACAGCTTTATTTCTACGATGAAAAAAAAAAAAAAAAAAAAAAATCATAACTAAATGTCTCTGTATAAAATTTAAAGAACAAGGCATGAGACAAAGCTAAGTTACCTCAATTACTTTATTTTGCAAACAAGATCACATCAGAAAAGTATGCAAAGACATAGAAGCAATTTTAAGAGAAGACACATGTTGCTTCTTCAAAGTGTGATCAAGTACAAAAATAATGAGAAAATTGTTTTCACATAAGATACCAAATGGCAAATTTTACCAAACAGGATGTCAAACCAGTAGTCTTAGATAAACCAAAATTATTTTGCTTTAGAAACACTACCAAGGAAAAGAAAGCAAAACAAACCAAAACAGTTTTCTAGATGACAAATGTGATGGCTGAGCCAGAAGATCAATAAGATCATGGAGATAACCAAAAGAAAGCTCACCTAGTAAAATTGGCATGCTTGCATGTAGTCCATATTGTTTATGTCATCAATTCACACTTTTTTATCAGTTCCTCAAGACTTGACTGGATATACTTTGGCATGCTCCAGCAAAAACTGAGGAAAAGTGGACTTGCAGTCAAGTTCATGATTTCTCCACCAACTAGCTATGTATTATAGAATACCTTGAGAACATCAGCAGCAGCGTAACAACTGCCTGCTAAAATTCCATTTTCACATCCTGTGAATGACCAAGAAATATTTAGCTTAATCACAACAAAAACCTTTTTCTTATGCAAATGATGAGAAACTTAAATGGGAATAGTTCATCCCCAAAACAATCAAATTATGGCATTCAAACCAATACAGTAATAAAAGCAGAAAGTGGACAGAACTCTGCCAAAGTCCATAAATGCCTTAAGATATGGCCTCTTCAATAGTTAATTTAGAGGCTAAACCTCCTGTCTGTTTGAATTTCTCCTCATATTTCGCTAATGCCTCAGTCTAGCATTCAAGTTAATCCAGTTAATCTTAGTGTAGAAAACTTTGAAATGGAAAATTTAAGCCAAATCTTCATGATAGTTAATAGATGGAGATAACTCATATTCTATTAACAGCCACCCCTTCTGTTACCCAATTAAGTCGATTGTCACAAGGAATTTTGTGTAAAATATGAACAAAAACTACTAGTAATAAGGCTTAAACAACCTAAGATCAAATAACACATATTAAATACGAAAAGAACAAAGATCCAGCACAAACATTTCAATCCAGATACTTATCTGGATCTTTTACCCACAAAGGTTCATAACTAAGAGAAGATTTGAAAAAAAACAAATTTCCTGCATCTTAAAACAATAAAACTCAATTTTATGCTCGGAATCAGCTGTTCCTTTCCAATTCTTCAACATTCTATCAAAAAGAGCTAGAAAAGTCAACACACATAAAAATCTCCTAAAACAGACACTTTATTTCAACTCAAGATGGAACATCCACATAACATGATTCATTTCAAGATGTTTAAATAATAGTAGTAATTCTTCTCTACAAAATAACAATAGATAATTGCTTGACTAGAGTCCCCTTGTTGAATTCAAAAAGAAAAATCCTAGAATAGTCACTGATTGACGTTCATATACCTGCATCTGTGTCCACTCATCTGTCGGTGACGTCCTTGTAGAAAACCAATACATGATTGATTCGTCTCCATTTGACAGTAGCTATTCAAATAGCGTAAGTTTATTCGGAGCCATAAATCTGAAAGGCCAAAATCATATGTTTAAGTGAAATTGGGGGAAAAAGTGCAAAACCTAACTTTCAATTGGTTGAATTAGCCATATTAAGATTGAAAAAAAAAACTGAACTTCCATATACTCAAATGAGAACTAAAAAAATAATAATTAAACAAAAGAAGAGTGAACAAAACCTCATCAATTTGGGTCTTGCATACAAATCCTTAGATCTATGTATTGGTGGCGGCTAGGGTTTACAATTGCTAGATGGACATCACGAGGCGGCCATGGATAGCGTAGGGTGACCGCTCACAACACATATCAGATCCTCAAAAATTTAGATACATATACGACATATATAAAAGGCTGAATGACTAATGAGTGGGAAGGACTCAATTCAGCAACAGATTACACATGCAACCCACGTGAGAAGTGGACCTAATCTCAATTCCAAATCTCAAAAACTATTTATGGAGTACTTTTTTTAGAAGGGAAAGTACTATTTAATCTCTAAGTTTTAACTTAATTCACTACTTTCGTCCCTAAACCTAATAAGCAGTCTCCAAGGTTTGATCCCGTCAAACAAATTCATCTTCTATGTTCAACATTAGTCAACTAGATAAAGTGAAGTCTGAAGGAAGAGAAGAAAATTTAAACACAAAAATTGACTTACTTAATTAGCTAAATCCTTTAAACTAAACGAATCGTCAATATCGCCGATTACTATTCTTGGTTACTTCTCCACCATCATTATCTCCTCTTGCTATGAAAGAAAGAAAAAAAAAAAAGCAATAGAGATGGATCCTTATCTAATCCTTTCTAGTTTATTGGGTGATATCCACCATTTTGTTTCTTCTTCTTTGCAATTCTAAATCTCTCCAATCCTTTCTTCTTCTTTTTTTATTGTACTCTAAATTTACTCAAATCGAGAGTCTCTTTAAATTGACCACTTCAGCTGGTTATGGACTTCTTAACTTCTATCTGACTTTCAAAGTCAACTCAAATCTAGATAACTTGCGCATTACTATGTCTATTTTCCCATTTGATTTTTGTAGAAAATTAGATTTTTTTTTAAAAAAAAATTGGGCCTAATTCAATTTTTAAATTGTAAGTCTATTTTCCATGACATTATATAATTCAAAGCTTGATTTCTTTCTCTTTTTTTTTTCAATTTCTTTTTGTTGTTGAGAGGGAGGCCCAGCAGATTACAATTTTCCTTTTTTTTTTTTTAATCAATTCTACAGACATCTAAGCTTATATAATAGAGTCCTCAATTTTAACAGCTATAAGCATAACCGGCTAAACAATTATTCCGCCCTCGAACTTTATCAAATTTGTCAATTAAACCCCTTTTCAAACATTATCCTATTGAGACCTTGAACTTCAACGTGAAACACATACGCCCCTTTTGATGAAACTTTGACAGAACATGCAAGTACTTGACAAAACGAGCGAGTGAGGCGTTAAGTGTCCATTAACCATCAAAATGGCGCCATATCATGACTGTTTGTTTACCTTAGTCACTTATAAACCTCATCTCCCTCCACTATGAAAACAACATTGTTTTTCAAGTATTTGAATCCTAATTCATAAGACACGACGATGTTTTCTTTATTTGCGTTAATAGTGAACCCAATAAAACCCTAGCACAAGTTGACCCGGTACAAACAATGCATGATGCGGCACTATTTTGATGGTTAATGGACACTTATTGCCTTACTCACTCATTTTTATCAAGTAAGTACACACTCTGTCAAAGTTTCATCAAAGGGACGTGTGTGCTTCATGGATGAATTTCAAGGTCTCAATAGGATAATGTTTAAAAAAATGGTCTGATTGAGAAATTTGATAAAGTTTAAGCGCGAAATTATGTGTTGTCCAAGCATAACCACGTTCTCTTCAATCTTTTCCACAAGCTATGGTTGGACCATAAAAAATTTTGTCTTGTTTTGATTTCTCCAAATGGATATTGTATGATTTCTAGGTGGGTATTACGTGGTCTAATGGTAATGGTGACTGGTGGAATGGATAGAGAATAAAAAATTGGATAGCGGTTGAAAATGGAGATTTGAGGGTTTGATTACCAACTAAGGAAATAAATGAGCTAACTAGGATCTAATGGTATTCATATGGAGATTAAAGGAAAAATTAAGCAAATATGATGGTATAATTGAGTATTTAATATATTTGATTTTATGATTCAAGTTAGCAAACTCCACTCACCTCTTTTTCATCATTTATGTCATGTGAGCTCCTATCTTAATCATAATTTCGGCTAGCGACATGGGAGTAAAGCACCTAATAGTAAATTTTTTCTTTGAATTCAAACATTTAATTACAAAAATTTTCCATTGAAACAAAAAAAAAAAAAAAATTGAATTCAAACATTTAATTACAAAAATTTTCCATTGAAACAAAAAAAAAAAAAATTAAAAAAAAAAAAAAAAAAAAATCATAAAATTATAATATATGTAATTACGTACACATGTACAAGATTTCATTATCCAAAATTAGCTATCAATACTTAAACTATCATTTAGCAAGACATATTGAGAAAAATACACTCCCTCTGGGCTCTTTATTTAGAGAAAGCAAAAAAAGCTTTTAGATTAAAAAAGTTAGTTAAATTAAATTTTCTCCTTAAAATGCCCTTTATTTCATCATTAATTATGAGGATAATAGCTGACACAAAAAACAGTCCCAAGAAGTATATTTATTACCAACTTGCATCATTTGGGCGTTACTTCCAACCTTCTTTATTAATTCTATTTGATTTTATTATAATAGGGACATTTTACATAATACGTGCACAAAAACGAAAAAAATTTTCGAGCCAAATTAAAGGCCAAAATTTTAAACTTATTCAATGAAGCCATAAATTTCTAAAATTTTTGGCGAAAATAAAGGAGGAAAAACTTAAATTTTGGCTTTCACTTGTTTAAACTTGAATAATTTTTCAATTCAAATTCAAAATTAAAAGAAAAATTTAATTTCTCCAAATTTAAATGAAATTCAGAAAGTAGTGCCCAAGTTCAATACATTGCGGCCAAAATGAAATAGAATCCGAGTTTTAATTTGAAAACTCTTAATAAGTTTTAATTTGAAAGTGGGTACTAAAATCCGAGTTTTAGTGTGAGTTTGATGGCACAAAAAAGTGCACGGTCTAGCAAAATGTGTGACAACTTCACATTTTGAAAAGTGCACAACTAATAATAATAAGGCCACAACGTGGCTTACAAAGGAATACAACGATTATAAAGATTTGAAAAGTGGACAACTGAGAATAACAAGGCCACAAAATGTTTTACAAAAGTACAAAACTAATAAATTAAAAAGGCCACAAACTGACTTATAGAATTTCACAATCCCTTAACTAACACAGAGAAATAAAAATCATTGAAAAAATGTACAAGTACTAAAAACATAGCCACAAAATAGCTTACAGAAGTGCACAACTAATAATTAAAAGGATACAAAATGGCTTACAGAAGTTCACAACCGTTAACTAACACAGAGAAAAAAACCATTGAAAAAGTGCACAAGTACTAAAAATAAAATGCCACTAAGTGGCTTACAACAGTGTACAACCATCATAAGGATTTGAAAAAATGCACAAATACTAAAAACAAAACGTCACTAATTGGCCTACAAAAAAGCAAAAGATAATCAAAAAGTTCAATTTCTACTAATAAAAGTATACATTAACCTATTTGTTGTCACCATCTTCCCTAGATCAACATTAATAGTAGCAAGTGTGTCCTCTACAATTTTTCCTACTGGTTCATCTATCCCATCACTTGTAAAAGGATCTTGAGAGTTAATAAACTTCCCTCTTGTCTATGGTTCTTGTATAGAAGGTTCAATCTCATCTAAGTCTACGAGTGCTTAATGATCACTACCTTCGGGCGCATCTTTACTTTTTTGGCCATTTTTTTCTCCAATAGGTGTTTCGAAAATCTCTAAATCCTGACTTGTTCTTTGGTGAAATGCCTCAAATCAGCAACAGAAGACTGCAACTCTTTAAATTGTGCACTATTATTCTATGTTTGCTTACTGTTTTTATCTATCTTTTCCACCAATATGGCCAAAAGAGTAGTAATTGTATCCAATTTTTTCAGAATCTCAACATTATTGTTTGCAACTGAAAGCACTCTTCTAGCCCTTCTTGGAAGAGTAGCCGGATCCTTTAGTATACAATTTCATCTATGAATCCATACTCCAAGCATAACATATATTCATTCCTAACATCAATGGTTGTGGTCAAATTTACAATGACAAAAGTGGATATATATTCATCAAACATACAAATAAACGCTGGCTCTATATATATGGCCAAATTTAAAAAAACGACCACTATTACTATAAAATGAAATAAAAAAGTAAGTTGATAACTTGTCCCTTGAAACACCTGTGCATTAAATCTTCAATATGGTCCAAGAAGACCAGTAGAATGTATCCAATTTTGTCAAGGGAACTCAACATCTATTGTTTGCAACTGAAAGCACTCTTCTAGCCCCTTCTTGGAAGAGTAGCCGATCTTAGTATAACACTTTTGCATCTATGAATCATACTCCAAGCAATAGACATTTTCATTTAACATAATGGTTAGTGTCAAATTAATAATGACAAAAAAGTGCGCGATATATAATTCAAATCTACAAACCTGCAACAAATAATAAAACTCTTTTGGCTCCTTATCGCTATTCAGTTATGGCCACACATTAATTTAAAAATTCAAAACGACCACTAATTACGTACTAAAATGAAATAAAAAATGTAAAAGTTTGATACTTGTCCCTGGAAAACACCCCTTGCCTGCACACCTAATTATTAAATTTCCTTGAGGATGAAGTATTTTTGTGTCGACCCATCGCTATTCCTATTGATTGCTTGAGCGTTTCAATTCCTTAAAAAACGACCATGTTATACTTCCAAAGGCTTCTTATCTATATATATGGCCAAATTTTAAAAAAAACGGGACCACTATTACTATTAAATGAAATAACAAAAGTACAGTTGATCGATCTCCCTTTAAAAACGACCACTATTACTATAAAATGAAATAAAAAAGTAAGTTGATAACTAGTCCCTTGAAACACCTGTGCATTAAATCTTGAGAATATTTGTGTCGCTACTTTCCTTGATTGTTGAGCTTCAATCTTAAAAAAACACATATACTTCAAAGGCTTTCTCGTCTTTTTAACTTGGCTTGTATCCCAAAGTTACTATTTAGAATAACTTTCTCTATATAAAAAATACACCCAAAAAGGAAATTTTCTCTAAATAAAGAGATTAGAGGGAGTATTTGATAGTGTTAGTAATGGATTGCTTTCTATTTTTGAGATATAAAAATATGTTAAGGGCAAATCTGTTTTTTTTTTTCAATCATGTATTTATTTTTTTTAAAGGAAGAAAATATTATTACTCAAAATCAATAATCAAGACATCAACAATTAAAAAAAAAAGTGTATCAAAACCAGGGGAAAGATCTACCTATACTCCTCATAGGCTATATCATTGAAAAAAACCCAAACTTTATGGGTAGTTTTAATTGTACCCTAAATCTAACTTTCTTCTCTGCAACATGAATTTTAATTTTAATTACAATAGCACTCTAATTTCAAATTGTACCCGATATTAATGAATAAAATATTATTTTTATTGGAGCTACATAGTCAGGTTAATAAAAAACTTACCATTTAACAAAACCCTAACTAATATTGCTTAGAATTTTTTTAAATTCATAAAAAGCCAAGTAAAATAATAAATTTTATTAGTTATAAGCATAAAATATTAGTTTAGGTTTTTGTTTTGCAATTTTTTTAAGCATGAAATTTTAAGTAGGATTTATCGAAATTATACTTAAATTAGATCTCTAATAAAAATAGTTTGTATTCGTTAGGGAATCATTACTTGTTGTCAATACTATATAAATAAATAAATAAATAATACTTTTTTATTTTAATATTGGGTACAATTTGAAAATAATATTTTATTCATTAAATTGTATCCAATTTGATAAATAAAATATTAATTTTTATTTTAATATTGAATACAATTTGCAATTAGGGTGTTATTGTAGTCAAATTCTGTGATTTAACCCAGCTAAGAGCTTCCCGAACCTTTAATGCCAAAGAAGCTGTTGAACATTTGAGCAAGCAGACTAACTGAGTAATATTTTTCGAAAATAACCTTAAATAGAAAACTCATATCCTCTTCCAGATACACAAAATAAACAAACATTACCTTTTAATCGCCAAAGTTTAAAATCAATTTGCCAGCAATGCTCCTATCTTTAATATCACATCTTAAAACAATTGACCAGACCTTGACAAATAAGGCGGCTGTGAATCCTGAGATTATCTTCCAATATCAATGTTCTGCCCCCTGCGATGAAAACTGATCGTATCAAGCAGTTAATCTATCGGCTGTGTTCTTCGATGACCTTCTATATCTGCAATAGGAATTCCTACCTATGTCAAAACGTTTTGAACCAATCAAATCAGCATACAACTTTCATCATTACAACTTGAACCTTTTACAGTCATTATGCACCAATCTATTTGTATCTTTGGGATATTCCTTCCACCCAAATTGGTAAAATATCAATTCAGTTTTTCTTTTTTCTTGCTTCAGCTTTCCAATCTCTTTTACCAAGCTTGGCTTTCATGTCACTTGCCAAGCTAAGAGAATTTTCAGAATGGTTGTTCCTCTCTATTGGTGGTTCTACTGCTACTCCAGGGCCCAGAAAGTGTTTTAGACTTTCACTACTGGAGTTCAGATCAGAAATAATTGCTGCATTGGGTACTTCTTCAAGATTTTTACATGCATGAGCTCTTCGTGCATCCTTTTTCCAATTTCGTTTGCAATGAACACGGGTTATGCAATTCTCATGATTACCATTTAGTTGTGGTTCTCCTTCTGGTGTAGTTGGTTGGTTTCTCAAAGAAGACTTCTTCATATCCGCTTCTAGGCGTTTCCTGGCCCTATATCTACGTTGACGTTCCCGGTTTTTCAGACGACGAGCATTAATGTCGTTACGGCTCCTAGATCGCTGTTTTTGTTCAAAGGACTTCATAATAATACTATCTTGTGCCCCAATTATATTCATATTTCGCCTATTCTCCATTTTACATACTGAGTATCAACTGCATGAATAAAATTAAACCAAGAAGGGATATTAAACAACAAAAGTACACATCACATTTGATTTGTTAGCTACTTAGTATATGCAACGATCAAATGCATATTATTTCATTAGCCAACATCACAGCAATTTGGTTGGAGAACAATGAAGGATCATTCGCAATGTCTGTACAAACAACACCATGCCATACAAGTGGTCAAACATGCTATACAAGTCATCAAACAAACAAAATAGCTCTCAAAGTTTGCTAGATGTCATGTAGAACCTGACAATTAACACATTTAAACCCGTTCTACATTTAAAAATTAGAGCAAAGAAAATAAAATTTATTTTCTTTGAGGTTAGCCTTTTCTTCTACATACCCAAATACATGAAACTCAGCATTGACATATCTGACCCATCTAAAATTTACCTATGGCAATTTTGACACCATTGATAATAGTATATACCCTTCGCATAGACACCTAAAGCAAAATAAATGTTTGTATCGTGATCTGAACCTTAGCAAAAGCAAAAGATATGCATAATAAGATAGGCAGTTAAAGTGGCATAAAACAAGAATGAAGCTTTTTGCATACATTAACATTACAGACGGAGAGCAATATTTGAAAATTTCACTTTATGTAATTGTTTTGCTTTCTGGGGATTCTGTAGAGGTGATTCATTCTTAGCATAAATTAGCAGCCAAACATGTTTGGCACTTTCTATGTTCAACAATAATGGCAAAAAAGTGTGTTTCCTTCTCCTTTCTATCAAATGCCAAATTGTAGAAGCATCAACTCAAGACAAATCAAGTTCAAATAATTTTCACTTTCATGCACTACACATTTTAAGTAAATAATTATTAGGGTTCTTCCCTTAATCACAAATTCCTAATTTTCAATTATAAGGAAATAATTCCTTATAGACCTTCATTGTCTCAATTTAGAACATATACTGGATAACTGCTGCCAATACAATGGTGATTCAGAAGCTGAACAAATGCATTAGACAATCATTTCCTTAAAAACCTATCGGAACTAACATGAATTTCATTTTCTTCATCACAGAAAAAATGTTAACTGCAAAAATAAAAGCAAAAATCCATTCAAGAACAAACTCTGGTTCAAATAGCATGAAAAGCACTTTCACAAATAGCAAAAACCATCGAAATGCTTTGATTGCTTACAAGGAAATCACTGATCTAAGCTAAAAAAGAGAATAGTAGTAAAATACTCGGAGCAAAGTAATGTAGAGACAAACAATACCTCATAAAATGCAGTGACGTTACTTGTCAGTACAAATTGTTGTAATAGGTTTGATTTTTGCAAACAGAAACAGACATCTACGTTTGTAGGAACTGAGAAAGCGGTGACTGTCGGATTGGGGACGAAACATCGATCTGACTGGTAAAAAGGCAATTAATACTGTGATAACAATAAATGAGATTAATTTTGTAGGTAAAATAAACAATGGTGGGGTGGTGGCGCAGTTGGCTAGCGCGTAGGTCTCATAGCTTCGAGTAATCCTGAGGTCGAGAGTTCGAGCCTCTCTCACCCCAAATTTTATTTTTCAGTTGTATTTAAAGAATACATTTTTTATTATATGTTTAAATGTTTAAAAATTGATAATAACTAATATATATGCTCAAAAATAAAAAAAAAATATTATAATTTTTTTTTTTTTTGACATTTGAATTATGGATTATATTAATAAGAGAAGAAACGAGCGATACAATCGGGAACACTATCCCAAGTTTGAAAACAAGTGAAAACAAGGCCTTCCCACTGGGGACGGATTTAAGCCAACACGGAGAGCTAGATCATTTGCTTTGTCTTCTAATCCAGCCAGTTTGCATTAGGCAATGGACTAAGAGTAGCTTACATTCAGAGATGACAACCCCACCAAAACTCGACCCCCGTCGTGGACAGAACTTCCTCAATAACATGATAGACTTAAAGGCAATCGGTCTGCAAACCTGAATCGTGCAAAAGTGGTGGCTTCGAACACCAGGATAATAAACATTTCTTAACGCGCTGAGCTTCTGCTACTGCTGGAGGAAGAGCAAGCCATGCCAAAGGAAGACGTTGCTGCTGATACAAACGCCCCAGGCAAGTTTTGAGAGTACAGGCACGGACAGCTCCATGCCCAGCGGGAGGGGAAGAAGAGAGGCTCAAAAGTTTAATTTTAAAAGTGCCAGAAGTGGTGGAAACCATTGACTACTTTGTAGAAACACCGATTGCCTATACGCTGAACCTGACAGCTTTCGCTGGGCTTTCTTTCCAAGATGCGAGCAGACTTCTAGCTCGAAGTAACCAACATGATAAGGTCCTACATTGCATTTGGTTCCAATTTGAGATCATTACGACCTCAGCCAAATACATCCATAGACCCATATACCATAGACCCATAATAAAACTCTCAAAAAAGTCGCTTTCCCACACCTTGTGCAAGTGTTCGAACATCTGTAAGAAATTTGGAAAATTGCCAATATTTGGTTGAACACCAAAAAACTGCCAACAAAATCTTGCTTTTGGGCACGCAACAAGAGGGTGAGCTAACGTTTCAGCTGCACCACAGTAATCGCATCCTGTATCAAGCTCTATTCCCCTTCTTTCCAAAGTTGTTTTAACTGGCAGAATGTCTCGGCAGCACCTCCAGAGGAAATGCCTCACTTTCGGCGGAATTTTCAGAGACCAAAGAGCTTTCCAAAAATTGGACTGCAAATTATCTTCAATATCCACACATTGAGATGCTACAATGCTACTATTTTTGTAACAGATTTCACAGAATATAATCCCTGAAGTCTGTCCAGTGCCATATAAGGGTGTCCTTCCTGAATATTTTAGCTAAAGGAATGGAAGCATAAGTTCGCAATTGAAGAATTGAAAAGACCTTTGTAATGCAGGCAAATTCCAAAACGCACGTTCCCCTTGTTGCAAAATAAAGGTCCTAAACCCTTATATGCTCAAACCAGGAAGAATAGGCAAGTTAATGCGGAGCTGGTTTTATCCTCAATAGCCATGGCTCGGTCCAAACATTTACTGACTGACGGCATCTCCAATTCTCCACCGAAAACCTGAAACGAATAAGCATCCTTAGCACTTGCACAAATTTCCTCTCCATACAAAACTTGGATTACGGCCCTGCTGCACCAAAAGGAAATTCCACTTGGGAAATATTTTAGATTTGAAAGAATATAAAGAGAGATTTGTGTTATGCAAAAGCCGCCAACCCAGTGGTTTTTCCTAGCATGGCGAGATTGAAACTGCGCAAATGTCTGAAGCTTAAACCTCCTTTTTCCCTCGCTACACACAGCCTTTCCAAACTTAACCATCTCTATGCTTTCCTCCCACCAGTAAGAATTGAATTCATTAACCTCTGAATCTCCTGTAAGATGGATACCGGTATAAGGAAAGCACTCATACAGAATGAAGGAATAGCTTGTGCCACAGACTTTATTAGCACCTCTTTACCCGCTTTGGATAGAAGTTTCTGGTTCCAACCACTGACCAACTTCCTCACTCGATCCTTCAAGAAAGAAAAAATGCGCCTCGTTTCCCGGCCAATTAATGAGGGCAAGCCTAGATACCTTCCGTGGTTTAAAGGAGCAAGCACACCAAAAACTCCATTAACGGCATCCTTGTCCGGTTCAGAAGTGTTTGAGCTGAAGAAAATACCCCGATTTGTTCCAATTGACCGCTTGACCCCGAAGCTGCTTCGTAAGTGGACTAGAATATTTTTTATGCTCTAAAGCTTGAACACTCCGAGATGCCTCAAAGAAGACAACTATCACCGCAAACAACAGTGAGATAGCCGAGGCGCAGCTCTCGAGACTCTACAGCTTGGAGACGACCTTCATCTTTCAGACACTTAACTAAACAACTTTGACAGTTCCTCAGCACAGAGTATAAATAAGTAAGGGGAAGATAATGGACAACCTTGTCTCAAACCCGTTCGGGGATAATTGGGCAACCTCGTTCCCATTCACACCAACCCAATATTTGACAGAGGAAACACAACAACATAATCAAGTCAACCCAACGATGGGCTAAACCAAGCCCTGCATAACAGCCGTAAATTAGCACCATTGACTTTGTATAGGCTTTTTGAATATTCAACTTTCCAACTTTCAGTGCGGAAGCTCCTTGTCGACCGGTCATTCTGGTTTGCATAGAGTGTATTAATTCGAAAGCAACTAACACATTATCTGAAATCAACCGGTTCGGGACAAAAGCCGACTAAGATAATGAGATAAGATTAGGTAGGATGGTCTTCAGCCTGTTTGCCAGAATCTTAGCAAAGACTTTGTAAATTACATTACAAAGTGAAATAGGTCGAAAGTCCTTCACTGCCTCTGGGTCTTCTACTTTTGGTATCAGCACAATTAGGGAGCACAATTAGGGTATTGTTCAGATTATCTGGAAAAACACCTGCATTAAACCAGTCTCGACAACCTTGAACAACATCATGGCCCACAATATCCCAAAACCTCTGGTAGAATTTAGGATTTAGTCCATCCATCCCTGGGCTTTTATCCGCATGCATTTGTTTCACTGCCAAATGAACCTCATCCACTGAAATATCTCCAAGTAGCATAGAATTATCATTATCCGAAACCAAAGGAGAGAATAAACCCACAACAGGACTTAAGTCAGCATCCCCTGCCTCATATAGATTAACAAAATAATCACTCACCATTCCTGTCAACAGATTGCTGTCACTTATCCACTCACCATTTGCATCCTTCAGCCGAAAAATCTGCTTGGATTTCTTCCGTTTTTGAGCAGTTGCGTGGAAGTACCTAGAGTTCATATCCCCCGATTTCAACCAATGGGATTTCGCTCTTTGAGACCAGAAGACCTCTTCACGGTGCAGAACATCATCAAGCTTACGCTGTACACCTTCAAACTGATCAATATTTCCATTGATCCGAAGATTCTCAAGCTGCACTGTCAACTGCTTGGCTTCCTGTCTGAATCGAAGCTTTAGTCTCCTGCCCCAGTTCTGTAGATGATGTCCACAAACCTTTATCTTCCCCGTTGCATCAACACCGTCATAACTGGTCCAACTCTCTCTAACCTCATAACTGGTCCAACTCTCTCTAACCACAGTGTCCACATCAGATTCCTCTAACCAAAAATTCTCAAACCGAAAGCGATGATGCCTCATATTTTTTATACTAGGGGCAGTAAGAATAAGAAGAGGAGAGTGATCGGACTTACTCGAGACTAAATTCTGGACCTGATAACATTTTTCTGAAGAAATATTTGCTTCATAAATTTTTTTTTTTTTTTGAAATAAACTAATTACATTAATGGAATGGGCTAAACCATTCTCGATGCCTCAAATTTTGCGGCCTGCAACAATTGTACCCCAAAAGGAATTTAACCTTCTAGGCATCCCAATTCTGAACTTTTGATTTAATTGCACTCCAATTTTAAAATTGGTCAAAATTGCCGTTAAAAAAATAATAAGCTCGGGCCCACATGAGTTAGTTAACCCACATTAGGTTGGCTTTCTCAAACGCACCGTTTTGTAGGGTTGTGAATAATAAAAGTTGTTAGTCATGAAAATGGAAATGCTTTCTGATGATATAGGACACATTTCCTCCTTTCGTGCTCCGACAACCATTCGGCAAGAACCAAACGACAAACAACTTCTCCAGCTTCAACATGTTTATTGTAAGTCATGGTCTAGTCAAGCAAGCTTCCATTTTCGCAAACTTGAGGCTTTTTGGTTGAGTTAGCAACTCCGGTCATCATCTTTGGTGTGGTAAGCTTAGAATCATCATCTTTGGTGTGGTAAGCTCAGAATCATCATCTCTAGTGATTTTGAGCTTTTCATTTTTGAACATTCAGTCGAATTTCTCTCACTCACTCTCTCTCTCTCTCTCTCTCTCTCTCTCTCTCTCTCTCTCTCTCAGAGGTAAGATTTTCTTTTTTTCTTTTTTTCTTTCTCTGTCACTTTCTGAGATAAGATTTTTCTTCTCTTTTTCCTTTTTTATTTTATAATATTCACTGAACTCTCCTTTTGTCTATCTATTTACTTGAATTCGATTTGGTTTTGTTTGTGCATTTTTATTTATAGTTTAAATTTGTCGATTTTGTAGAATAATTGGTTGTAGCTTGTGATTGAGTTTTTTCTCTTAGTTAATTTCTTTTATCCCTTTCACTTTTATTTTTTAAAGTTATTTTACTTTTCTTATCTATCTATTTGGTCCCTGAAAAATCAAGGGAAAGGTGTAGAAATTTAGTGTTTTTTTTACCTCTTTTAAGTGTATAAGCTCAATTGTCGGGTGTTCTATGAAATTTATTATTTCATGATAAAATCATATTTTGGCAAACATTGAATGTTTAATTATAGGAATAGATGTAAAATGGTTTCTTTGCCGAGTTTTTT